AAATTTAACTCTTAGGAAAGTTAGGCTTAGCCTCAAAAGGTTCTTAGGTGCTTTGCCACTGATTTCAATAGAAGTCGATACATATTCCAGCAAGTAACTACAGTATCATGATTACAGCATATTAAAATTACATTATAACTTATTTATTTATTTATCTTACTTATAATGATCATTAACCAGAGTCCCCGCAGACTATGAAAAAGGGGAGGGAACAAGCTATAAAAAAAGAGCATCGTAAATTGTGCAAGGAGTTTCAAACTGATTCAACGTTGGATCAGCGCTCCCACAAGGCACCGGTTGCACTCGGTGCTGACTTGACCTTGAAAACAAAGAATAGGATTTTGGTCAACATGCATGGGTCAATGGACAAGTATCGTTCATTAGTTTCTTTTATATTTGCAGAGCAGGCTAGAAGTCACAAATTTTCTGTTGTTTGGGGCTCTGTTGTGGATTAGAAAAATAGCAAACGAGACGAAAAACGAGGGCACGTGCCCCGAGTGCTCCAATGTAACGGGCGCCCTTGTCGTTAACTCTCATTTTTAAGTATGCCTCTACTTTTGAAGGGAACCGCTAGTAGCTTAAGTACGAAATGCTCAACCAAATCAATTTCTATGAATTAGAAACTGAAAATCATATCTGATGATTCTTATTAATGATTATTTTTTAATATTTTAAAATATGTATTTTTAATACTCTAAAATTTTATCTATTAATAAAATATGATGTTCTTTTTTAAAGTCCCTACGCATAAATCTATGTTCAAAGAGAATTAGATAATAGCAATAGATTCTCAATATTAATGAAGATATTTGTGACATTTCCTCTGAAATAAAATTACCCAGTAAGTAATGAATATGAAAAAAAAGAAAATGATCACTTTTATTTAAATCAATCTTTTATTTCATAATTTCGGTCGAAGTTTGTCATTTTTTTATAATAATAACTCTTTAAAATAACAAAAGATCTTTATTTTGAATAGGTTTCCATATTTTTATTATTTTATATTTGTTTAATTAACTTGTAATTGAGTTCAATCTTCGAACGTGTCATTGAAAGTAGTAGAGAAGTATATATATTTTATTTTATAAGTTTAAGTTATTTTTCTTCTGTTTAAAAGTTCATAACACCGCAAAACAGTTTTGTAATATTCATCATTATGATTACTTTCGTTAAGAAAAAAAGCAACTGCTCCATAAAAATATTGTTCACTTAACTATATACAATACTTATTGTGTTATTAAAATTCTATTTATTCGTTGAATACAGAGAGGCACAAAGATCGCAGATTTAGTACTAAACTATTTATAGCACTTAATAACGATTATTCTTAGCATATCGTATCGTATAAAAATAGAGCAGGTTATCTTTCTTTTAAATGTAAATATTAAAATTTAATGATTATCAACTGATTATTAATAATTTCTATCGGTTACAATTGAAAATGTTAATTATAGTTTACAGTAATCTTTGAAAAGTTTACGATTTGATATGCTTTCATACTCTATAAAATGTTTAGTATTAAACATCAAAAATATACAATTTTATAGAATTATTAGAGAGTAAGACATTTAGACTTTCCGTTTCTTTCAGATCGTTTTTCTATCGGTCTGTTCAGAATATGGGCCATGTAGAACAATATCTACTTAAAGATTTTCTACATTTTATACAGATTTGTAAAGGTTACTTTATAATATATATAATCATTTGTTTTTATTTACGTATATTTTTTATCATGCATATTGACTGTTATCCTTTTTTACTTGTATTTTAATCTTTTGTTACGGGCGTTATTTTCGGGAGGACATCAATTGTCTTGTGACATTTCCTTTTGTATTTGCAATAGATAAATAAATAAGCTTAAATCATTTAATTGCAGTTCGATTAATAAACCTTATTCATTAGTATTATTTTTATTCGGCATTAATTTTGTAATTTTTTTCTAGATTAGATTTGGAGTTTATGTGATTATAAAAACTAACAATCTGTGTTGTTAATGTTGTCAAAAAGCAATCTTTAAGCTTTTCTCCTAATAAATAAGAACAGAGACGTAAGGAAAGTAATTTATACTATTGTCATATTAATTAAGTTGGTTTTTAATGTATTTTATTTGTTATTTGGTGATCACTGATTCGTGGAAATGTTTTCGGAATTCAAAATAGTTTTTAAATTGAATTAATGATATGAAAAGGAAAAATACATTTTACGAAAATTGATCACAATAATTAAAATTAATTTTCTATAATGTAAATTGTTAATTTAAAAAACACTATTAGAGTTTTATCTTTTTATTTGAAAAAAAAAAAGTACAGTGTACGTGCTACATCATTTTTTTATGATGTAAAAGAGTGGAAAGACACTAAATCCAATAAATCCTGTTAAGAAGCGATAATAAACCTATCATATTAATAACTCATTATCTATCCCTGCTTCCTTTTAATGTCCACATATATGACCCTTTAATGAATACAGAAGTAGACATTGAAAGCTTCTCGAATTATCATCATTAGTATATCTTTCGACAATGCTTTTTTTTTATAGCTTTAGAACTTATAAACTTTTTCATTCTGGTACTTTTAAACACGTGATGAAATGATATTAATAAGAATTTTCTTCATTTTGCCAGAATAATTTTGGATTTAGTCCAAAGAAAGAAATGTTGATTCTACGCCTCATTACGTAACATGACAAAATATCGGTAATTAACTTCGGTGACGATTCTCTTCACTCATTTAATAATTAATTGAATAATAAGAATATAAAGATTCTAATTTTAATATAATTTATTTTCCAATTGTTAGTTCAAACTTGTTAAATTAAAAAAATCATAAAAAGAAACTATATGAATTAATATTCTTTAAAATCTTTTCTTGGTTATATTAAAATTTTTAAACTTATAAATTAAAAATTAAAGCTTCCTTTATAATTCAAAACGATGCGATAACTGAAAAATATGAAAATTTCATATAAAAATTATGGAGTTGCTCCTAAGTTTTGATAAACTATTTTAAATTAAAGAAAGTTTGCTGAGAAAGGTAACTATGGTATAACGAGCATAATGCTTCGTCAGCAAAAACTTTTCCAGTCCACTTTAAGCTAGTCCCCGTCACATATGATAATTATCAGATCCTGGATCATCTCCAAACAAATCAGACAAAAATTTAATAAATTAAGCAAACTATATTACATTAATTAAAATTATTGATAATATTTTAAACATTAATTTTTATGCGTTTTTATTAAAATTCCAAATTAATTTAAATATTCTTGATCCGTTCGAATGAATATTTACTATATCTTTTCAATTAATTACTATACCAGCCTTATTTTATCTTTTCCTTTTCACTTTAAAAATAAGTAGTTTGATAAAATATATTATAATTACATGCTCTTAATTAATGACAAAATTCTCTACTTATGTAACCTGCTAAAGATATTTAAAATGCAAAGAATTTTACTTTTTATTAAGCGAAATAATTTATATGATAATCTTTCTCTTTGATCTTTAACGTTGTGTTTTTTAATATATCCCTGGGTTATGATGACGACTGATACTTATGTTAGAAAATCTCCAAGTATATTAATTTAAGAAAATTAATTTTATACATTCTATTGTTACTGTTTTAAATTTTTAAAAAATATATATATACATAAAAATCTAACATTAATATGACAAGTTTTTATTTCTACTTTTGTTTTTTCTTTTCTTTTTCAAGGTTATCTGATCTGTTTTAACAAATGTTCTCACCAACTCATGTTAGGATTGACTGCCAGTGCAAGGAAGGTCAAATCATAAATTTTCTGTATCATAAATCAACTTGAATTGAACTTTAAAAAATATTTCATCCGTCTTGTAAAAAGATTCCTAGTTGGAATCCGAATCTTAACAAATACCATTTTACAAGGGGGAAAAAAGTAAAAAATAGCACAAACATCAAAGCAACTTTTCGACATCATAACAGAACATTAAATACACTTAGATCAAAATTATCTTTCCCGTTTGAAGTGTTTCTGGTTATAAGATATCTCATATCTGTTCTTATTGCTGGCTACTTCAAAAAACACTTCAGAAAGATAAGTCTAAACACGGCAATTCTACGTGTTAAATATAGCATCCGAACCATGTTACCCCCGTTTAAATTATACAACTGTTCTTCCAGCTAGGAATATGCTGTCTGGGAGACTTTTCGCTTGTGACAAACACATTTGGCAACGTTACAGTACCTTAGCTTGCTATTAATTTATATATATATAAATTAAAATTAATAGAAAATTTTAAAAAAATAGTTGAAATATCAAAAAGCTGTAAAATAAACAAAACTGTAAAAGTAATTCTCAACAGATTATAGTATACTTCTTTCCCTTTGCAGAAGAAAATTAAATAAACTCCAAACTAAATCTAAATGTAAAGTTCAAAAACAAACTAATTCATATTGTAACTGTTTGTATAATGTCAAATATTTTAATGAAAGATGACAATACACATTTTTCAAATTAAAAAAAGTTATTATTATCGAATTATTTTAAGCTGTTAGAGTCTTTTATACCATCAGATAATTGTATTATATTACATAATTAGTGTAAAACAAAACTTTACCATTTGAAAAGCTGGCTTGATGTTTTTCAAACTGTAAAGGCTTTAGAATGACATTAAAAAATAAAATAAAAATTAAAGAAAACAGAACACAATTTAAAACATATAAAATATTAAAAGAGACTTGTCGCATATTAGTTAAAATAGTTTCAATAGTGTCAAATTATGTAAGATGGTTTCAATAATAAGAAAAGTTGTTTTAATACACAATAGCGAGAATAGTGAACGTTTTAAAGATAAAAACTTCGGCCGCAACATCACTATTGTGTATTAAAACAACTTTTATTATTTTAAAATGGATGTTTAGCAAAACATTTAAATGGATCTGTTCATCTCATTTTACATTATTTAAGTATAAATGTTTTTGTAGAAAGAATATAATTATAATAGAAAATAGATAAAATCTCACCTTCGCTAGTTACTTCATTTGTACGGATTCCCATCTGAATGTTAAGCCTTTTTTTTTTTTTTTAAATTTTCCAAACTTTCGGATTTCAAACGTGTTAACCCATCAATACTTCATTATCGATCGATAAATAAATTAAAAAAAAAGTATTAGAAAGTTTTATCCCAGTTTGTGTATCCACTCTGATGTTGTTTCAACACTCCTTCTTCTCTTTGGACATATTTAGAATTGAAGATGTTGGAGGAGCAGACGACATCCGGGCTTCTCGCGAGATTTGTGCGAGATTCCCAAGAAATGTCTAAAAATAAGCGACCGATGACGTCACGTTTGCGTGGATAGGGAATATCTTGCAGACGAACTTAAATTTTTGTTTTTTTTTTTATTTATTCAAAAAATGGAAAAAAAATCTGTCAACGATTATATAAAAATTGTTAATAGTTTTTTCAAATCTAAACGATTCGATTTATATTTCTACTGAAATGGATATTTCGAATTTTTTTTAAATTTAATTTTATTTTAAATTACAGTATATTTAATAATGTAATAAAATTATTAATTATATTTTTAGTAAAATTAATTTAATATATTCGGTTATTTTAAAAAACGTATAGAAAATTTCTAAATTTCTATTGTTGTGATTTTAAATATAAAATGAGTTAAAGATATATTTATTAATTTAATATATCGATATAGTTACTAGCATTATTTATTATTGTTATTATTATTTTATACAAAATATTTAATAAAAATTAATTTAAAAAAAATAAAATTATAAGTGCTTCCCTCTTGTGAGGAATAAGTGAAATTTTTAATTTCCTTATTTCTTTATTTACACTAATAATTTTTATTAACTCTTTTATCTGTCTTATTTAATATTTTTTATTCAATCTAATAAACTCGAAAATAAAGAATTTAACAGGAAATAATTAGAATTTTCTAACTCTTATATTTTATTTTTAGAAAATTCAATTTTTAATTTATAACTGGAGCTGTTTTTTAAAATAATTTATCGAATTTGAAAACAAATAAACTTCAAAACTTCTTTAGTTTAATACACGAATTTATCTCTGATTATTTGAGAAATTAGATAAAAGATGATAATGGTTAAATTTAAAATATCTGCGAAATGATAAATACTATAAACTCAAGCGATAAGTACAAAAGAAATGGCCATTCACATACTGAATAAGGAGTATAGGAAGAGGGAGTAGAGTAAAAATGGAATAGGAGATAGGAAAACAACGGAAAGAAAGGGACAAGTAGGTGCATTTTGTTATCTCCTACTTACTCTATACCCTAAGACAATTTTATAGCATTAGATGGCCTTTCGGTGAACCTATATGAAAGTTTGTGTGCACTTATAACGAGAAAAAGTGAATTTTTAATAAAACAAAACTAAAAGATAATTTTAATATAAATAGTTTAGAAAATTCGAAATAATTCATTATATAATACACTTTAATTTAAGAATAAAATAGCCGAAAGTTTCCTTTGGAAAGAAAGAAAAAATAAATAAATAATATAATAAAATAAAAGTTGCAGTAAAAGTGGGACATGGAATATGGCTTATGATCTGTGATTAATTACTGGAGTTCTTTGGTTCTGCAAGGTGTTTTAGTACTAAATTCATTTTAAAATTTTTTACTTAAAAATTATGAAATAAAATATATAGTTTTAAACTTATAAATTAAAAATTAAAGCTTCCTTTATAATTCAAAACGATGCGATAACTGAAAAATATGAAAATTTCATATAAAAATTATGGAGTCGCTCCTAAGTTTTGATAAACTATTTTAAATTAAAGAAAGTTTGCTGAGAAAGGTAACTATGGTATAACGAGCATAATGCTTCGTCAGCAAAAACTTTTCCAGTCCACTTTAAGCTAGTCCCCGTCACATATGATAATTATCAGATCCTGGATCATCTCCAAACAAATCAGACAAAAATTTAATAAATTAAGCAAACTATATTACATTAATTAAAATTATTGATAATATTTTAAACATTAATTTTTATGCGTTTTTATTAAAATTCCAAATTAATTTAAATATTCTTGATCCGTTCGAATGAATATTTACTATATCTTTTGAATTAATTACTATACCAGCCTTATTTTATCTTTTCCTTTTCACTTTAAAAATAAGTAGTTTGATAAAATATATTATAATTACATGCTCTTAATTAATGACAAAATTCTCTACTTATGTAACCTGCTAAAGATATTTAAAATGCAAAGAATTTTACTTTTTATTAAGCGAAATAATTTATATGATAATCTTTCTCTTTGATCTTTAACGTTGTGTTTTTTAATATATCCCTGGGTTATGATGACGACTGATACTTATGTTAGAAAATCTCCAAGTATATTAATTTAAGAAAATTAATTTTATACATTCTATTGTTACTGTTTTAAATTTTTAAAAAATATATATATACATAAAAATCTAACATTAATATGACAAGTTTTTATTTCTACTTTTGTTTTTTCTTTTCTTTTTCAAGGTTATCTGATCTGTTTTAACAAATGTTCTCACCAACTCATGTTAGGATTGACTGCCAGTGCAAGGAAGGTCAAATCATAAATTTTCTGTATCATAAATCAACTTGAATTGAACTTTAAAAAATATTTCATCCGTCTTGTAAAAAGATTCCTAGTTGGAATCCGAATCTTAACAAATACCATTTTACAAGGGGGAAAAAAGTAAAAAATAGCACGAACATCAAAGCAACTTTTCGACATCATAACAGAACATTAAATACACTTAGATCAAAATTATCTTTCCCGTTTGAAGTGTTTCTGGTTATAAGATATCTCATATCTGTTCTTATTGCTGGCTACTTCAAAAAACACTTCAGAAAGATAAGTCTAAACACGGCAATTCTACGTGTTAAATATAGCATCCGAACCATGTTACCCCCGTTTAAATTATACAACTGTTCTTCCAGCTAGGAATATGCTGTCTGGGAGACTTTTCGCTTGTGACAAACACATTTGGCAACGTTACAGTACCTTAGCTTGCTATTAATTTATATATATATAAATTAAAATTAATAGAAAATTTTAAAAAAATAGTTGAAATATCAAAAAGCTGTAAAATAAACAAAACTGTAAAAGTAATTCTCAACAGATTATAGTATACTTCTTTCCCTTTGCAGAAGAAAATTAAATAAACTCCAAACTAAATCTAAATGTAAAGTTCAAAAACAAACTAATTCATATTGTAACTGTTTGTATAATGTCAAATATTTTAATGAAAGATGACAATACACATTTTTCAAATTAAAAAAAGTTATTATTATCGAATTATTTTAAGCTGTTAGAGTCTTTTATACCATCAGATAATTGTATTATATTACATAATTAGTGTAAAACAAAACTTTACCATTTGAAAAGCTGGCTTGATGTTTTTCAAACTGTAAAGGCTTTAGAATGACATTAAAAAATAAAATAAAAATTAAAGAAAACAGAACACAATTTAAAACATATAAAATATTAAAAGAGACTTGTCGCATATTAGTTAAAATAGTTTCAATAGTGTCAAATTATGTAAGATGGTTTCAATAATAAGAAAAGTTGTTTTAATACACAATAGCGAGAATAGTGAACGTTTTAAAGATAAAAACTTCGGCCGCAACATCACTATTGTGTATTAAAACAACTTTTATTATTTTAAAATGGATGTTTAGCAAAACATTTAAATGGATCTGTTCATCTCATTTTACATTATTTAAGTATAAATGTTTTTGTAGAAAGAATATAATTATAATAGAAAATAGATAAAATCTCACCTTCGCTAGTTACTTCATTTGTACGGATTCCCATCTGAATGTTAAGCCTTTTTTTTTTTTTTTAAATTTTCCAAACTTTCGGATTTCAAACGTGTTAACCCATCAATACTTCATTATCGATCGATAAATAAATTAAAAAAAAAGTATTAGAAAGTTTTATCCCAGTTTGTGTATCCACTCTGATGTTGTTTCAACACTCCTTCTTCTCTTTGGACATATTTAGAATTGAAGATGTTGGAGGAGCAGACGACATCCGGGCTTCTCGCGAGATTTGTGCGAGATTCCCAAGAAATGTCTAAAAATAAGCGACCGATGACGTCACGTTTGCGTGGATAGGGAATATCTTGCAGACGAACTTAAATTTTTGTTTTTTTTTTTATTTATTCAAAAAATGGAAAAAAAATCTGTCAACGATTATATAAAAATTGTTAATAGTTTTTTCAAATCTAAACGATTCGATTTATATTTCTACTGAAATGGATATTTCGAATTTTTTTTAAATTTAATTTTATTTTAAATTACAGTATATTTAATAATGTAATAAAATTATTAATTATATTTTTAGTAAAATTAATTTAATATATTCGGTTATTTTAAAAAACGTATAGAAAATTTCTAAATTTCTATTGTTGTGATTTTAAATATAAAATGAGTTAAAGATATATTTATTAATTTAATATATCGATATAGTTACTAGCATTATTTATTATTGTTATTATTATTTTATACAAAATATTTAATAAAAATTAATTTAAAAAAAATAAAATTATAAGTGCTTCCCTCTTGTGAGGAATAAGTGAAATTTTTAATTTCCTTATTTCTTTATTTACACTAATAATTTTTATTAACTCTTTTATCTGTCTTATTTAATATTTTTTATTCAATCTAATAAACTCGAAAATAAAGAATTTAACAGGAAATAATTAGAATTTTCTAACTCTTATATTTTATTTTTAGAAAATTCAATTTTTAATTTATAACTGGAGCTGTTTTTTAAAATAATTTATCGAATTTGAAAACAAATAAACTTCAAAACTTCTTTAGTTTAATACACGAATTTATCTCTGATTATTTGAGAAATTAGATAAAAGATGATAATGGTTAAATTTAAAATATCTGCGAAATGATAAATACTATAAACTCAAGCGATAAGTACAAAAGAAATGGCCATTCACATACTGAATAAGGAGTATAGGAAGAGGGAGTAGAGTAAAAATGGAATAGGAGATAGGAAAACAACGGAAAGAAAGGGACAAGTAGGTGCATTTTGTTATCTCCTACTTACTCTATACCCTAAGACAATTTTATAGCATTAGATGGCCTTTCGGTGAACCTATATGAAAGTTTGTGTGCACTTATAACGAGAAAAAGTGAATTTTTAATAAAACAAAACTAAAAGATAATTTTAATATAAATAGTTTAGAAATTCGAAATAATTCATTATATAATACACTTTAATTTAAGAATAAAATAGCCGAAAGTTTCCTTTGGAAAGAAAGAAAAAATAAATAAATAATATAATAAATTAATAGATGTAGACTTATTTATTTAATATACAGTATTTAAAAATTTTATATAATTATTGAAACATGATAAGAATTTATACTTTATTCATATCGTTAACATATTACCATAATAAATTATATAAAATAAAATAAATATTTTATTAGCGATTATGAAAAAGAAAATATTTTCAACGTATTCGATAAATTTATCACAAAAATAAAATAAGAATTACAAATTTAAAGCATTTTTTATTACTTTTAATAACTTATATACTTTATCTACTGTATACGATTTTATGAATTAATAAATTAAAATATTTCCTTTTATTAAATATCCTCTTTCTCTCTCCTCACTAAGCTTCTTATAAACTGTAACTTAGTCATTTTTCTTTCAATTTTAATGTCATTTAAATTTATTACGCTATGTTATTTTTTTTCATTAAAAACATTTCATGTAATCGAGAAAATGTTATATATTACTCTTGTACATAAAAAACAATACATATAATATTTTTTTTCTTTTCATAAATGAATAGTTAAACCTACTGTACAATATAATGAGGGATTCGTCACGATTCACACGATCGATCAACTAAAGAGTTTTATAAAGGAGACGCTTACTCATCTCATTTCCTCATTTAATTTTCATTTAAAATGTTATGAGAGTATCTAATTAATATATAAAATCAATATACGATCTTAAATTATAACTTTGATAAAATGTAATTACTCCTAAATTTTTATCAATTCAGATTTATAACATTGACTTTTTTTTTTAAATTACATCTTTATTATTAAAAATTTTTAATTAATTTATTTAGAAATATAAAATTAAAACGTTTAATTTCTTTTAATAATTTATTAAGGTATAGTATTTGGTAATTATAACACTTAAAACTATTATTATTATTATTTTTATTTTAAACATGCAATAAGTAAAATACAGTAATACCTCGACTTACGCTACCCCGACTTACGCGAACTCGGAGTTACGCGATTTTCAAATCTTGTCGATTCGTCTTTTGTTTGAGCGCCACGCAACTCTTGATTACTCACTCCCCCCACACTATTGTTTAGCTTACATATTCGGACGTGTCGCGCGGAATCGACACATAGCTCCAATTTATTTTGTGTTATTTATTTCTGTGTTTGTTCGATCTACGGAGATTTGAGAGACTCTATGTGGTGATTTCTTGTAACCGTGAACGAATCAAAAGACGAGATAAGATTAACGAGAACATTTATTAGCTTACATACATCCGACTTGGATTTTATAAAAATTGCGAAATTATACCCCGACTTACGCGGTTATCGCTCGGTCCCACCTATCGCGTAAGTCCGGGGTATTACTGTATTTAAAATATATTATATTAATAATTACTTTAATACCTTCAAAATATGTTTATACAGATAAAAATATTCAATACATATTATAAAAATATATTTACAAAGTACATATTACTTATTTTATTGTATATACTTATAAACATTGTATATATTATGCATGGTAAAAATATTTAAAAAAATCAAGAAAATTGATAAATTATTATAGTAAAATAATACATTAAATAATAATTATTATTTTTCGAATTATTCAAAATTAGTTTATAACATATTTCCGAAATTTAATAATTTTTTGTATAAAATTTTTAGAATATTTATTTACAGTTTTAGTATATATTTTTGTATTTTATTTGAATTAAATCTAGAATAATATTTTCTGTATATTTTTATGACATTTTAAAATTTCTCTATAATATTTCTAACCATAAAAATATAAATTATTTAAATTTTTCCTATATGAATTAATATAACTGATTAACAAATATGTGTATTATTATTTAAAAATATATTTTATCAAAATATCTTTATATTTTTTTAATTTAAAATTTTTTAAAATTTATAACAAATAATAATAATAATAATCAATTTTAATGACATTTTTTAAAATCTGATTTAAGTAAACAATATAGGCTATATTTTATGCTATATTTTATAACGTTCGTATTTCGTTTATGGATCGATTTAACAAAAAATATAAATAACATTTAATTTAGTACTGTAATTAGTATATTATTTAATTAAAAAATATTAAGTATTAACGTTGAATAACCGATTTATTTTTAAAAATTTAATTAAAAATTAAATAAATAAACATCGCCTCGATACAATATAATCACACTTGGTGGCGCTTTAGATTGTCATAGTCCAATTTCTTTGTCCGCCATCTTGAAAGGAGAGGCGTCTGTAGTTTTACTAAAGACGTCGAAAAGAAAGGTAAATCGTTCATCTCTTCCGAATAATTTTAATAAATAACGTTAATAACTTATGTCGGAATCGGTAAATAACATCGTTAATGTCGATAAGGAAAGAGAAGATGCTTCACTGCTCGACTGATTAGCCCCTGGGATGTAGGCCGAAGTTTGAAAAGTCGAATCCGTGCAGGCAATTCGTGTTTTGACGAAAAACCATTATTTTCATTTTTAATACGATTTCGTCGTCGGGATGTGATTTTATAAGTTGTTTAACGTATCCCGGGTTACAGGAAACGAATGGAGATTGTCCGGGTTTAGTTTGGCCCTGTCATTCTTCAGATCAAATGCACTTAGAAGAATCAAGATGGCGAAGGCGATATTGTACTTGCCAGTCTGTAATGGGTGTTGTGCAGTGATGTGTTTGTTCGTCTTTTTTCATTCCATGATATATGTTGTTAGGTTTATAATGTGATTTATTTATAACAATTTTGACCTTTTGTAATGGAAAAGTAATGACATTTAATATTTATATCTCTTATTTTTTTTATATTTTCTATCTAGTTTGATTATGAATGATATTTAATAGTGGAAGTGACGATTTAATTATTCAGTTTAGCTTAAAATGTTTCTTATAATCAAATGATTATTTACTTTTTCAAAATATAATAATCATCATCATCCAATCAATTATAATAGTTGAAAATTTTGATATGCTTATTTTGTTGTTAATTTATAAAATATTCTATGTATTTTGCAGCATTTTAATTTTATTTACATCATTTACAGTTACAAGGTTATCTTTTTGTCAGTAATGTATCCTATGAACCTTGATGACCGGTGTATGTCAAAAAACAAAAGAAAAATTTGCAAATAACGTTTTTGAACTCCCAGAGTTCTTCGGGTGTAAACGAATGTCTGATGGAATGTTAAAGCTTTTGGAATATGAACATTTGATGAATCATTTGAATCCTACATACGAGAAATATTTAAATGTCGTATTTACACCCGAGGAAGAACTCTGGGAGTTCAAAAAAGTTAGTTGTGAATTTTTCTTTTGTTTGTTTTTTATCACACGTCGTTCGTCGGTTTATAGGGTATGTTATCAACTATACCTTGGTATTGTGTGTTGTTTATTTTTTTGTTTTGCTAGATTGTGATTTGTGTTTACACTCAGTTCTATTAAGTTATTTATTCTTATTAATGTAGAATACTTAAGTTATTGAAATATGGTCTCGGTGGCTTTATTTCTTTTGCCTTTCATTGATAATCTTTTTAATCATTTTATTAAACAAAGATGATGTGAAAGTTTAAAATATGAACGAATTGATTAATTACAAGTTATAGCATATTCTTTACCTAAATAATTCAATTACAGTTATTGTAATAACTTATTAGATAATCTAGATGAAGTCTTTTATTATCTAAACACCAATCAAATACCGAAATTCTATCGGGCTAGTTTAAGGCTAATTACTAAATGAATTACGTAACCAATTTGGCACCTAACACTTACCTCTAGAGCCAAATTGGTTATGTAATTCATTTAGTAATTAGCCTTAAACTAGCCCAATAGAATTTTGGCATTTGGTTGGTGTTTAGCTATATTATGTATCAGGTCTAGCAATGTTTGTCTTTTATTATCTGTTGTAATGTTTTTGTTTTCAAAGTTATAGAAATAAATGTATTCCTTAAAATTCTGCTCTATCATTTTTATGTAATCTGTTTTACAGCTGAATAAAACAAGCATAAAAATAATATGAAAATAATATTTTTATGCTTGGTTTGAAATTTTAATCTTATTGTTTGTTGATTTTTATTTTTTCATATTCTATTGTTTTTTATATAAACATATAATATTTACATATAAATGTAAAGGTTTATATTTATGAATATACATGTACTGTACACCATGCCAGGGTAAAGTGATAGCCAGCTGAATGCCATGGAGATCCTGTTAAGTGGACACTTAAGTCATCGCCCTCACTTGGCATCGTGTATAACCAGTGTGGTTATATCTAAATTATTAATAGTTCTGGAGGTGAAGATTGGACAGAAATTTGGGTATCATAACTGGCAATGCCTCTGCATGGTAAGCGGGAGTTGTGAGTTTGAGTCTCGTTTTGGGCTGATCCTTTTCTTCCAGAACTTTCTAAATTAAAAATTAAATATTAATTTACTTATAATTACTATATTAAATCTATCAAGAGATAGCATCTAACACCTACTTCTAAGCAGAATTACTGAACATTTAATTCTTGAATAGTGGCCTGTTATAATCTGGCAAATTATTTGTTTTATTTTTTATTTCGTTTTAGAATTTTGAAAATAATGAGTATAGTATTTACTATCTGATAATATTAATGAATTTTAAAAAAAAAATATCACAAGAAATAGTTTCATATATAGAATTCAGTACTTTTTTATCATTTGTGCTATTACTTTCACTTTGCACAATTTATATTAAGGCTCTTTAAAACCTTCAAAATCATCATTAAGTTGAAGAAAAAGATTTTCCAAGCTTTTATTATTTTCCCTACATCAGTGATGTTGAAGCCTTTTCTGAAGTCTAGAATTGATGGACCTCCTTTCTTATTAGTTGCTTCATTTAGTAGCCCACCAGTGGTTGAATGGCTATAACCACTGAACACTGGTAGTTGGTTGTGGGTTTGCACCTCACCATCAGACTGGCTACATGGAGTTTTCCAGATCAGTAACACCCTTGTGGTGCTATCGAGACCATCTTCAATGATGTCTTGTAAATCTTGAGGGAAGTTTTTAGCAAGTCCAAAAATTAAAAATCTTCAGATGTCATTTTTTTGACCAATTGCCATACTTTTCCTCTGTTATCTAAATAGAACCAGGAAAGTAAAAATAGGAGTCCATGATTTTGTTTTTAATATACAAAGATATTACTGTGACAATGTCCATGCTCTGTGATGCGACAAGTGCACCTAATGGAATTTAGGCCTAGGGGCCAAAAATAAAAACAGTATTATGTGTACCTAACAGAAAATAGATGCAAAAAAAAACAAAACACAAGAACAAAGCAATTGGTGGCGATTGTTTTGTTCTTAGATTATCTCTCATTCCTCCATACCTGGCCAATGCAAGGATTGTCTCTCATGGTCTGCAGGTACGAGGATAGCCTCTTTTGTGGTGGCAAGTGTAAAGTTCACCTGTCCATGTCCATTGAGTACTGTACAAGAATCACTTATTCTGTGCCTAACAGGTGCAGGGATTGCTTCTTTCCTTCTGGCTTTTCTACAATTCTATTGCAATAAGACAGTCACACAATGTTGTAGTTATGCTTCCAAATATGTTTTTATTAATTCTCTTGAGTGTTCTGGGTTTTAATTTACAGGAACCGTTTGCATTTTCCTCCAATTACAGTGTTAAATGATCCTTGGTATCTTTTAAGTCTGGCATTGTAGATTTTTCCTTTGTAATGAAAGTTTTTGCTGCTGATATTTTCTTCCAGAAAAAGCCCATTTTATCCACATTAAAAATTTGTGGTGCTATGAAATCATCTTCAATGATGTCTTTTAATTCTTGAGGGAAGTTTTTAGCAGTGTCTGCATCAGTACTAGCTGATTTTCCTTGGATCTTAATGCAATTGAAATTTGCTCTTGTTTGAAGCAATCAAACCAGCCTTTGTTAGACACAAAGCTTTCTTATGAACTTTCTTTTTGCTGAATGTCTTTGAAATGGGAAAATGCTTTGACAGCTTGGTTCAATAACACATGCAAATGCTGCATTTAATTATTGATGCACATATACACTGTTAAAAATTTCTCCATTTGAGGGATTAAACTTTCGACATCTTTAATTTATATCCAAGTTGAATTCAAAGGCTGCACTTCAGTAACTTTAGTTAAAAATTTTGCCTTATCTTTCAAAATCATTGAAACAGTTAAAGCTGGCATAACTTTGAAAGATCTTTTAACAGTTATGCAATTTTTGTGTTGCATTAACATTTCTTATTTTGTTTCCAATGTTATAACCCCTATTTCCTTTTTATCATTGAGTTGAGTTTATTTATTTATTTATTTTTTGCTTTGCTATCATAATGGATAAAATTAAGAAAGAATGAAGAAATTGCACAAAACTGACTAGTGCAAACATTTCATCTTATTTTTTCAATTTGTGTGATTTTATTTCTGCTGAATTGCTGACAAACAGTCTCTGGGTGCAAAGTTAGTTCTCCAAGTTAAGAGAAATGTTATCATGAATGAAAGTTAAAATAAATGGTTATATGAAAGATGCATATAACAATACAGTAAAGCATCGATTATCTGACTCAATTGGGGACTGGGGTTGGTCGGATAACTGAAAAACCAGATAACCAAAAAGTATGAAAAAATACATTATTAGTATAATATATTAGTATATCCCATGTAATTAGTATATTAGTACAGTAGAGCGTCTTTTATCCGAATCAATTGAGGACTCGGGTTGTTCGGATAACCGATTATGTACGAAAAAATATATTAATTTATCACGTGTTGAAATTTTTCTCCGTTGCATGTCGCTTTGCGTTGAATTTTCGTCGATGTTAAGCCTAACGAAGACTCTTGTATCGTTAAAAATTATTTTTTTATTTTGTACAAACAAAATAAATATATTGAAAAATATAAAAACAATAAAAAATTATACTTCAGAAGTTAATTTAGTATCAAAAACGTAAAATATTTGAGTAGCCGAAGACATAGCCAAAGATTAAAGCGCCACAGCACTGGCGAAAATTTAAATTTGTCGACTGGAATTCCTTTGGATAAACGACACTCTACTGTATATCACTATTAACCTACTTTGCATTGAAATTTCATTGATGATAAGCCTAACAAAATTTTTTTAAAATTAATAATTGTTGCTATTGTATGGTTAAAAATTATTTTAAAATTATTTTATTGCTCACAAAGCAAACAACCACTCATAATTAGAAAATTAAACCTCGTTTAAATACTGGGCTCCCTTTCATGGTCAAGCCAGTGTTGCCAGCTAAAACACACACAAATTTGACAA